GAATGAAACTAGAAGTTTGAGATATAGAAGRTAAATGCTCAAAGGGTACCAGGAAGAGGCACCCTCTACATAAATAGTTATGAAACATCAMTTCTTTTTTCCTTTTCTTTTGGTTGAAGGAGCATTTAAAACCTCTAGAAATCCTACTGAATCACATAGATGTTTGCCAAGGCAACGAAGAGAACATTGAATTGATGAGACACATTCAGTGCTAAGGAAAAAACAGTAGGTTAAAGTAGCAATAAACCTTAAAGCTTCAAGCACATAAAGGTTAAATAAGGAGAGATTGTTTCCCTTCTGTAGTCAAATGCAAACTGTAAATAAGCTGATGCTCCAGCACGTTCACCTCTGAGGCAACACTGGCACCCGTGGACCAAGGTAGGTGAAGGTCTCTTCCCGAACATGATTTACAACTGGGCATATCCTTTTCCAGCATTCTCACTATTGCCTCCATCTTTTTCTTTCCTTTCGGAGGCTTYGGCCATTTCCCAGAGGGTGAACTTAGTGCCTCCCAGCCTCAGCACACRGCAATTATCCTCTCCTCCTGCCTACGGCATGTTTGCATTTCAAACGTGCCTTTCCACTCGGTTCTGAGACAARTGGGGCATCATTTTGTGCCTGAATTTCATAACATCTGACTTCTTTACAATATCCAATTCTTCTAAAAGATGATGSTGAGGAAAAAAATATGGCCTGAGGATGAAGGAAATCAAGAAAACTCAACCACTCTGTCTGTTGCAGCTACCAAATGGAAGACATTCAAGACATGTTGACTCTTCCCCACACTCCCGATTTCTGTTGACAGCAGCAGCTCTTGGCTTCCCTCTCCATGCCTGTCCTTCTGCAAATACTGCCTAGCAGCAGCTCCATGAGAGCTTTCTCAGTCCTTAGGGTGCCAAGTGAAGGACAAAATTCATCAACACACTGTTGTTTCCCAATTTCTCTTTTCCCGGCAGTGATGAATATTATAGATATTGCAGAAGTTTTTTGGGATAAGTTGCTAAATGATGCTGAACCCACAAAGCAGTTGGCCTTTCAAAAACTGTGTACCTAAACACTTTTTTAAAACTGAAAAAAAAAAGTGTATTTAAATACTAAATAAATATTAACTTAGTGATCAGAGAGAGAGAATGTCAGACTCTCTCCTTGTCATTGACAATGAAAGAGTGGAAGTCATCAGCCATACTTGCACATTCGAAACCAGCTGCAGTTGGCAGCAAAACTGCCTTCTGGTAACACCTTTTCTGACTGGTCTTTGGTAGGTTGTTTTTCGTCTTTTCAAGACTTGACACATGCAAAGGAAGGAAGCTCCGACTGCTATCAAAAGTTCCTAGGAAAGGAAGAGCAAGTGCGTGTGCGGTCCTGCCCACGGCTGTGATCCCAGCTTCGCCTCCGACTCCGTGAGCCGTCACACACACTCAGTGACTCATCTTCCTACCGTGTAAAACATGGACCCTATTCTGCTACCTTCCAAAGACACTGTGGGGCAAAAAGGAGGTACAAAAGAAGGTAAACCCTAACTATTCTCAAAATCTGTGTGTCTTAATCTGTTAATTTCTTCTATTGGTATATGGCTTTCAATGCTGTTGACACAGTTGGGTATCTTGTGTAACTACTTGGACTGCTGCTTCTTTTCATTACATGGATTGACTTTGTGATGTATTGGCATCAGTAATTTTTTGCAGTACTCCAAGAAAAGATTGCATGCATAAACATGAAAATTTCCCATATRGATGCAAGATGAGCAGAGCTGACTTTCATCAATTGGTTTAAATCTAGCCAGTCACTGACTGAATACATGAGAGGGTCGTGAAATTTGTTTTCAGCTTGTAAACAGCTTCCTCTGATTAGCGAGGGTGGAATTATTCTGTTAAATTCTCAAGAAGTGTAAATGTTTATTGGTTCTCTAATCTAAGGACTGCAAAGTCAACATCTAAACAGGAAAGCTTCTGATGCACATCGTTTTCCTGGCTCTGCTAATGCCCAGGTAATTGGTATTGTCCAGACCACTGTCAAGCAGCAGAATTAGTGACATTTAAGATGATTCTGAGAAGCACAGGAGCTGCAGCCATGGTCTATAATGTTCCTGCCTAAGAGAAAATGCTATCAAACTGCAAAACCACATTAAATAAAACACAAGAGAAGAGGAAAAGCAACAAATATCCTACACCTTGCATCAGATCAGCCCTGAAAGCTGAAGTAGTATCAATAGATGCGCGACATGCTGGCAGAGTCAAAAAAAAAAAAAAATTTAAATCCATGACTCTGCATTTTCCTCTTCTGCATTATCAAGATGCTCTCAGATCAGAGAAAAGGTTGCCCCCCCAAGCCCACATCATCATCCATATACAGCATATGCCAGTATGTTCAGCACATAGCTGAACAAGGCTTCAAAAGGACAATTCCCAATTACCTTTTTAGCATATTTAGTTTCTCACTAGTGTCCCCACAAACAAAATGGATCCCTGTTGTACTGAAATCTAACCGCTGCAATGCAATACATTTTAAATAAACTGCAGATCTGGGACCATATTCCCTATACGTTGAAGGAGCCTAAGTGCTGACAGCAATCAAACAATGATTATTTACATTTGGCTTCCCACAGGCCCCCTCCTACAATTTGTTGATGGCCTCCATTTTCCAAGGAAGTCAATAAAAATTGAGGAAGCTCTGCACCTTTGATAAGACGGTCACATTTCACAGTACAAACCTGGTGCTTCTTCACCGACATAAATGATTGCTATATATGCACCTGTGTGTGGGTGCATATATGTGTGACTGTGTGCATACACACGCACACACGTATACACAGAATTTGCTCCGGACTCTGCATTCAGCAYGTGCCTGTGCACACATACACACACAGGCACATCTCTCTGGCCGGGAAGGAGCTGCGGGCTGCCTGCTGCGTGCCCAGCCCTGCCAGGAAGGCAAGTGCGGGGCGCAGCCGGGCGCCTGTTTACATAACCAGCCTGAGCCGCAGTGAAAAGGAGACGGCACCGAGGGCCAGCAGAGAGGGCAGGAGTGTTAAAAAGGAACAAAACCAACCAAAACCCTCCGTGTTTTAACCTAAGAGAAGGCTGCTGGTGTTTCCTAGGTCTGAAAGCCTGGTGAGCAGCCTGCAGCCCCGCGCATGAGTAGCGGCACACGGGGCCTGAGCCGGCTTGCTGCAAGCCAGGGCTATGCAGCATTCCAGGAAAGGAGACGGCAGAAGGGCCAGCACCAATTACATTAACCTTTAATTAAAGTAGTAGAATACATGTTTGAATCGAGCACATTTATAAAGCAGGATTCGTGCGAATCGGGAAAAACAACACATGCTCTGCTTGGGCGAGCATGAGGAAAGGACCCTCTAACAAGCACAGACATTAGATAAAGAAAAAAAAAAGATGGGGGTGGGTATTTTTCAGAATTACATTCAAAAATGTAATTGCAGAAACAACCTTATGCTGCAGCGTCCCATTTAGGGGATTAGTACAGTAATCACAGTCTGCCCCAAGCAGCTCGGTCCCAGCATCCAAACACTGCGCACGTTAGAGATGACATTCCTGTCCTGATAAAGGGAATTCTAACGCAACCTAATGAACTCTGCAAATGCAGCCTTCTCCAAGTCAGACAGATCATATCCAAAGGTCCCGCAAGTATCAAAGGGCTTTGCTAATTTTATTTAATTCATGCTGCTCAAAACCTGAAATCCAAAAGACTGAATATGAATTCAATGTTTTCTCCATTATGCCAAGTGAACAGATGGCTGCTGAATCCTAGAGATTTGCCAAAAGGATCAGAAAATTCAGACATTATATTGCAACATTCTGGGTTTTTTTTTCCTTTTATAGAGACCTGTATTTACACACAATGTAAGAGAAAAGAAAAAAGGACAAATATTCTCGCTATTGATATTCACCTTCCACACAAAATTTATCAAAACATGGTCAGTGAATGAGTTAATGTATACTACAGCCCAGAGATTACTGAAATGGGAGGAAAAAAATGGCAATAAGTAGACAGGTACTCCCAATGCAATCTAGACCTAAAGCGATCCTTAACAGAAAATTACTARGGTATCTTTCAGCTCTTTAAATATTTTCTCATAGTTGTGTACTATTTGTGTCCTTGGAAGCTGTACAGTCATCTGTAAAGTAAATCATCAACAATGCTCTTTTTTATTCTGTTTTTATTTTTCAAGGCAACCAACAGACACTTCATTCTGYCTTTCTAACACTGAAGAGAAGCTGTAATTATGAATTAGCTGCAACCTCCTGAATAGCCGCAGCACGTGTGGCAGAAATGCCTTGACAGAATCAAAGCTTGCCACCAGCAGCACACGCAGAACAGCAGATTGCAGACCTGCGTTTCAGGCCGTACTTAGAGACATACACCTGCAGTGTGCAGCGCAAACACCCTGAATCATGGCAGGCAACCTGCTTATCAGAGCCTGCTATCTAACAGCTCAGCTAGATCGTTAGCAGAAAAGAGGCTCCTGTGCAGCATTTAGCATTGATGCTGAGGCTTTTAGGTACCAGTCGGGGAAGAGGAACCAAAATTGGGAAGCAGAAGGGAGAAAATGCTTCTGCGAAACACAAAAATGCACCCCCTGCTCAGCACAAAACCAGCCACCTCCCTCTCTCCCTGGACCACTTCAGATCAGCTGGAGGCAGGAACCCGGCTCCTGAGCCAGAGGATTCCTCTCCAGCCCTTTGGGGATGGAGGGAGGAAGGAGGCACTAGGCAACAAGGGCCATCTGTATTTGCATGCTCCCCGTGTGCCCACGGACTGCCGTGACTGGTAGCACTTCCAGCTCACTGCAGTGATGCTTGGTCCACAGCAGGACCAAGAGGTGATGGGCAAGGATGTATATGGGAAATATGAYATGAAAAGGAATGAAAATGAAGAGGAGAGCATTACACATAGCGCAACACACACCTGTGAGGCACTACATGTAGAGAAGGGCAAGGGGGAGAGAGGCAAAGGGAAGAAGGGGGTGCTGTTTTCCCTCATACCTTGCGTTTCCGATCTGCCCTAGAGATTTTCCGCTGCCTTTTTCTCTCCTTCTCAAGGTTTCTCTCCCTCTCTTCAAGTTCCGACTCCCGAACTTTTTTAATGGAAGCGGCTGCGTGAGCCATTTTGGTGCTGGAGGCAGCAGCTCCAGAGAAGCCGTGTCCGCCTCGCTCGGGTGTCCGGGTGGTTTAGCTTTCCTGCGAGGGCACCGGCCACAAGCCGGAGCCGCGCCGGACAATCCGCTCGGGCTCCTCCAGCTCCCAGAAGGGTCACGGGTGGCCCCCAGCCTCTGCAGCACCCATAATTCAGCCCAACTTCAACCCGCWCCGAATCAGAGCGCCCTCCACACGGGCAATGCGTGCAAGGGCTCACAGGCACACACGCAATCCCGGAGCACCAGCAAGGAGCTGGGAGCAGGGTTCAAGCCTCTTCAAGCCTGGCTGCGACGGTGTGCGAAGATGAGCTTCAGTCAAAAAAAAAAAAGGGAAAAAAAGGAAAAAACGGCCTTGAAGCACACATCACCAAAGTGGAAAGGTCTGTGAGGACTTCAGCAGAGAGGCTGTGTCTCCCGACGAGGAGGAAGGCTCCACTTCGGCAGAAGCACCAGCTGGGGGAGGAGGCAGCTCCTCACATCGCCTCTATGCAGAGTGACAAGAAAATGGTGCAGTCTGACTTACTGACTTGCTGCTGCGCCCGCCCGCGCTGCAGCCGGCACGGGCGGCCCTGCTCTCTCCTCCCCTGCACGCTCCCGTGCTGCAGGGCGGGCCGGGCGGCCGGCGCAGGGGGCCGGCGCGGAGGCGACGGCCTCACCTGTGGGCAGCGAGCGCCTGGCCGCGCGCAAGGGCCGAGCCGGGCGGCGAGCGCCCGCGAGAGCCGCGCAGCCGCGCGAGGCTGCGGCGGGAGAGCCGCAGCGCGCAGGGCCGCGCCGCCTAATCCGGGCTCAGCCCCACGCAGCTCTGCGCCCCGGAGCGGAGGGAAACACAACCCCGCGGAGCGGAGGGAAAATAAACACCACCGCCTGGAGCGTGCTCCTCGGCACAGAGCGCCCGGCGCTGCCGGCGCCCGCTAGCCAAGGCAGCGCGAGCAGCCTGGGCTGAGGACGGGGAGAGAGTTTGTGGTTACCCACAGAGACAGGGAGAGCATCGCTGTCCCCCTTCTGCCTCCCCCTCAAAGTCGTTTGTTCTTGGGACGTTCACTTCTAGCTTTAATATCAGAGACAGATGGGACTGTCATTCCCTCACTGCTTATCCCCCAGCTAAAACCAGCATATGAAAGCTGCCCTCCTACCTCCCCACATACCCGTTACCACAGTCATCACAGTCAGTGTGAAGCTTTTCTGTATCAAAACACAAACCCCTGAAACTGCTAGGCCTCCAGAGAGGAGAGGAGCYTCCGTGCTCGGTCCGGGCAGGACAGCTGATCCCGCGTCAGCTCCGTGGGCACAGGCGGCTCCCGGCAGGTGCCGAGGCCCGGGAGCGTGGCGCCCGAGCACGGCTGGGACACATGCAGTGCGGCCTTCRCCACCATGCAGGAGTCATGGACMCAACAGGCAACTCACTGCGKGTGGCTTCAAAAAATACTGAATTAAAAAAAAAACAAATCAGTTATTCCTAGCCAGSTTCCTCTCTSCAATGTATTTCYTGGTTCCTGAAGGGACTGGACTGACTGGCTGCTGAAGCTGAACCTGCCGAATTACACAGTGACCAGCTATCGCCAACAACAGGAACAGATGTCCTGGCAGCTCCTCATGTAAGAAGGGCTCATAGCTTGGGACTAATCCCGGCCTCCCTGTATTTTTGCATCCACAGAACGTGGCTATTACCAGTTCATATAGATCAAGAGCATTTATTATTCCCATGGGACAAAGTCTTCATGAGTTGTGCTGTTACTACAAGATTGAAGAATTTCACAAATAGTGATGACCAAATTCTCACAAAGCACTTGCATAGGTATACTACAAAGCTTTAGAGGCCTATCCAAAACAGSCATCTACTTCGTGTTTGACCCAGTCATCTTTGCATTCAATCTAGAATRTATTTCCTCAGAAGCAGGGCTCAGAGCGTTGGCCACCCTCTTTCCCAGCTCATTTTCTCACAGCTCTTCCTATTACAGGAAATCTGGCTACACTGCACCAAGGACTCAAGCAGTCACCAGCAAAGCGAGACAGATGGAGGCAATTAAAGGGATAAAATAAAGGGGAAAACAGATCCTTCACTAGGACCATAGCTTGCCTACCCTCACCTTAGCTTTTGTGGGAGCTCCAAGGTGCCCTCACACTTTTAAACCAGAATGGAGCAACCAATAATCTCAAACCACAGTTTCCTGGTGCGGTGAGGAACCATTCATCTTCCCACACCTGCAGCTTGGCCAGAGTTAATATATTAAGCTATAACCTCTTCACCGACAACACACATACTGCAAATAAAATAAAGAACAAAGCAGAGAAAGGTGAAATAAAACATTAGGCTACGGATCATCCAAGCTGATTCAAAGACATAATGCCCATTGAGGACAACGTGACTACTGATCTGGGGTGCTCAAAGGACAACACTATAGGAAGGGAAATGAGTTCAKCAAATTTGAATGCTTACCTTGTAAAATAACATTTTTGCTAAACAGGAAATCTGAAAATACAGACCAAATCACAGGSCAGCACTCCTAAAATCTTGGTCTTACAATTTCCCTAAATCATGGTTTAAGGTTTACTTAATTYGCTAAGCCCCTAAATGCATAAATCCTGCTGTGTAGAGCACACGATGGAGCACAGGGGGCTTTATGGAAGTTACATTTATTTAACCATTTTCCATCTTTTGTTATTATATACCCTGCAACTCACTACTCACCCAGAAGTCAATAAAGAACATGGTGTACATTATAACCCCCTAAAAGATCAGATGAGTGACTGGAACAGCAGGTGCCAAGTAAGATAAAATAGCAAATATTCTCAGAACATCACTGACAGAACAACTTCAGCCCAGTTCTGTGAGCTCACCATTATCTACCAAAATCACTTCCTACCTCACAACCCCAGAAGTCATAACAGCATTTTTTATCATGTGCCAAAAAACCTCTCTGTCTTGCAGTAGATTATTTTAGAAAGAACATAACCAGTCTGGGGAGCAAAACATAACGTACGTATCTCTTGTACTTGACATAGCTACTGCCCCTGCAGGAAAAAAAAACATTCTGGTTTGAGGTGGAGAGATTTCCTTAATGAAAGCACAAAATGACGACTCACTGCCCTGTCTGTGCAGCATTTTACCGATCTTAACAAAGCAAATTTTTTTGCAGATTTGCATTCGAAGACTGAATTTTCGGGATCTGTTCAATAAATATGGAGGCTGGCAATCCTGCCCTAACCACAGGGGAAGCGTTATGAAGCTCCTGCAGAAGAAAAGCAGAATAGACAGTGATTCTGCCACAAGCGCTGTGTAGGAGGGGAGTGGGAGAGTGGGCAGATGCACAGTAACAGTAAAAGAACACAACATCAGAAGAAAGGGTGTTTTTTCATTCTGTAATGCATTTGTCATCATTAACTGGAGAATGCAGAAACCAAATACACAACTCATGGAGATTCAGCAGATTCCYGTTTGGGATAATAAAGCATTTGGAGTCCAATCTGCACAGTCCAATTCTGCCTGCCTAGGGAGCAGCCTCCAAGTCACTAAGTTCCTCAGGTGTCGGACAGTCGTGCGGAACATAATACAGGAATTACAGTTCTGATTCATGTGGGTTGCAACTTGGCACAAGTCATTAACTCCTCACCTAATCACTCTAGTTTGACAGTGTCCGGACGTTGTTGTTTTAAACTGACCCGCTGCTCTGCAGTTGTTCATTAACTCTTCACTACAATTAGCACTTGGTTTTCACTTGCAGCTCTCAGGTAAAAACTCATGAGGACTACACAAATTAGCATTTTCTGTCTACAAAAATGTACTGGATAAAATTCAGGATTAATTGAGTAAAAGAGGAGGAGGATGTAAACAAGAGATTATTTTCTTTGAGGAAGTATCCACAAGTAGGGGACCAGTCTCATAAGGATGAGGCACTCACAAAAAATYATGCAGGCATTGCAAAAAGACAACTAATAGCAAGCCTAGAAATATTGAAAATAAATAAATCAATAAATCAAAAGAGAGAAATGACCCTAAAGTTGTCATTTTATACAGTTAGCAAGAAGAGAGGTAAAGATGTAACAGGAAAAGCATTTCATGGTGCCAAGCCAGARCAGAGACCACTCTTTGCAGCTCTAAGCCGCTAGCACATTGAGGAGGCTGCAATACAAAGCAGCTAATAACAGGGTAGGGAGGACCCAATGTAAAACAGAGTAGTTTGGTAAGGACAAGAGCTGGATAACACAGCTTTCTTTTCTAGTATTTACAGAGACCCTCTGGAAAAGGCAGAACTGAATTCTTCATGGGATTTAGATTCCCTCCAAAGTACCATGCATTGTAAACCTTATGGATATCTAAGAAACACTGCTACATGYGACTTTACCCCCTTGCAATGACAATCTCTGTCCTTACAAGCTAGGCAGTGGTTTCTACTTCTGCTCCCCGCTGGAAAGTAGACATAGCTTGGAGATGTGAACAGGCAGCTTTTCGTGGCRCTCACTTGTGGCATGAGGAAAATCCTTGAGGAAATACCCCTATAAACACTGCCTCCTGAGGAATGGCTAAGGACACGGGAGAGAGAGAAAGTATTTTTGATGTGAACACAGTATTTTGGAGATCCAGAGCATAGCACCAATGTATTTAACTGTTTAAGCTGATTCAGATGGATTGCACACATCAGCATATTCAGTTATTTGCATATCCATAAACCCACATATTATAGAATAATAGACAAAATTATAACTGTGGAAAGCAGAAACACAAAACTAACTTTGAAAATATATACTCTATTTATAAATTGCTTCCTGCATCACTTATTGTTTAATCTACACTCTTATTTACTACTTTATAAACAGCAATTTTGTTATTTTTAAGAKTATGATAACACTACAAGTGAGTTAGCAACCACATATATTTACTGTATATATTTCATTTTATACTTCTCTGAAAAAGAAAATATCAAGATTAAAAAGTCTCTACTCTTTCCTCTTCTCATATTACTGCAAACATAAAGACAATGTATTCCAGRAATCTCTATGATGGGAGTTAGTATCACTGAAACAGTACTGAATAGTAATATACATAAAACTATAATCTGACCTCTTTTCTGTGCTTTCATTCTGTCTACTTTATTAATTGAAGAGAAACAGTACAGAAAGTGAAATTACAGATGTATATGGCACTTAAGAAGCGAGTTATGGCACATACACTAATATGCCTAACCTAGACAAGTCTAATTGCCTTCCTTCCTTTCCTGCCACCTGGGTACCTCAAAGCACTGGCACTTTCAGTGGTCAGCAGTAAAAACACATTACAGGTCACACGATAGTGCCTGTGCACCATGGCCTTCATGGTCTCAAGGGTTTTCTTTTCAACACTGAGAGAAATCTTTGTTGTAATCCCCACACACTAAAAAATCCTGTTTAGCTATCTCCATCTTGTAAGGGT